GTGTCGATTTACTGGGTGCCATTTTTCACAACTTCTTTATTTATATGCGTATAGCGGATGATTTTAAAAAAAAAATTAGTATTTATTGATTTTCAGCCCCCAAGTGACTGTGGTATGTAGTACTACAATAAAGCCATGCTCATACATACTGCCTGCTTAGACTTACATATTTGAAATGTTTCTGACATTCTTTGCTGTTTCTGTGCACATTTATAACAACAGTTTTTTTAGTCGCCAAACTTTCGAAAGTGAAAGAAAACCCCTGAACGGCCACGAGCGTAAGCGCTGACGTCAGGTAACCAAGGGAAATAGAACAAGTAACGAGAAAGTGATGGACCAATCAGAATGCCGGATTCGTTACTAGTTACCGGCCTCCTGTGGCTTGGTACGCCATGTCACTTGAGGTGGGAACCAGCCAACATATGACACAGGTCTGTGCTGGGACAGCGCTTTCTGTGACGACACAACGCTCTGCCACAGCATGATTATACATTTATGCAAATCAGGGGTCATTGGCAGGGTCAAACCCGAACTATATCTGAATATGGCGGAGTTCGCGCGAACTTTAAAACGTACTCTGAATGAATACAATCCTGACGTGGAATTAAAACCAAAGCAGATGAAAGTTATGGAAAGCGTATAGGCAGAGAAAGTTTTAATAGTTTTCTTGCCAGCTGGGTTTGGGCTGCCATCTTGAATAACCGAACACCTGCGTATTGATATGTGACATATCGTAGCGTGAAAAGTCATGTGTGGCAGAAGTGTATTAGCCTGCACTAAGAACTCTGGGATGAAGAGTTTGTTGAAAGATGACATTTTCAAAAGTTCGCGATAGTAAAAATCTAGTTTCCGTAAAAACGCAATAAAACGTTTCTGTGTATTTGGCTGTGGATAAACAGTTAATTAATTACCAAGTGTATACCATTTCGATCAGGCTTTATACATATAAGGTATCTGATCTACAAAGACTTTTATAATGTGAACAATTGGTGGACTGTCTCCTAGAAAGTGACAGCACCGAAAGTGGCCGGGATGCTAACTTCAACACGATGGCGTATCGCACAACTAATTTATTCAAATCCCTCTGTTATGTTAAACAGCTCCAACAGTAGAATCGGTTCTCCAAACACAGGGCAGGCCATCATAAGCATACGTGTACTTACGGGATATACATTAAGAGTGTACCGTTATCTAATTTGTTATAACCATGGAAGTACAAATCATTTTATAACCAATGTAGCGCCAAATGTTTGCCTCCCGATAAACAAGTTGAACAGATTCACGTCTGGTTGACATGTTTTGTTATGTAATATGTGGAGAGAGTCTACTAGCGTATGCTACAGACACTTTATATATCACGGTTCCTCAAAACTGGAGGCGGTGTCGTTATAGAAATTATGTATATGTTTTTTTTTTAATTATCATTCAACATAGACGTTTTAAAATATACACACAATATAGAGACAAATCATACACAAATTCTGTGTGCATCCTTCTTCGTCGTCGTCTTCGCGCCCTGATACGTATAATACGACGGAGTGTCAACATTGATACGACCATGGGTTTATAGTTCCATGATACGACATACAGTATTACGTCATGTTCGGACCGTGCGGATAAACCTACATACTGGCAGCGAGGTTTCGTCTGTGGTGAACACTGATATGGCAGAAAAAGGTTTCAGTGATGAACCACGTCAACTCAGTAAAATAAGCAACAGTGGCGGATCCAGCAAAATTTATTGGGGGGGGGGGGGGTCCAAGCTTCGCTTAAAATATACGGAGCGTAAATCGCAGAGAAGCTATGCGTAATCCAGATGATATAAATCGTCATGCATTCTGGGGGCATGGCCCCCCTGCCCCCCTCTGGATCCGCCACTGAGAAGCAACTCTTATTTAAAAAAAAACACTGTGAAAAGCTTGAAATCTAAATACTATAGCTATAATGTTTGCTTCGAATGCGATCGCATAACGGTCAGATTACATAGGATATAGTAAAGCTGGATGGTCAACAAATCAGTATGCAAATTAAAAATGTTTTCTTCTCGTCCCCCCCCCTCTCACTACCTTAGAAGCAGAAGTGAGATTCACAAAATACAAATAAACAATTTCCTTTACTATGCACCATATCTTTATACAGGTCCCCTGACCACCGTATTGACTTCACTTACATTCCATTACATTTCCGTGTATCACTTTCATGTTTCAGTGAAGGTTATTACGTCATAAAGCCACCCATTTGTCCCAATATATGAGGATACAGTTTGATGACATTTTATAAATGGTCTGATTATTGAAGAAGAAGCAGATCCTTACTTAAACCATTGAAACATGTGTACGCAAGAGCAGGAAGTGGTAGCTTCTGTTATTTGTGTAGTTTTGGTTCCTCATTTTAATGCTTTATTCAGCAGTGAATATCACCACCAGTTAGTGGGCACACAGTGGCTGAATTGCACAGTCGACTTTACAGTAAACTCAACATGATCAAATCGCTCCCTGTGCTGTTACTAATCTGTTATCTTACTATCATGGTGAGTACATGGTTATTATCGTGTTTTCAGAATTATAAATATTTAAAAACAATGGCT